CTTCTCAAAGAGTTTCCCTAGGATTGAGGTAAGACTGATGGGCCTATAGTTGCCCGGGTCCTCCCTCCTCCCTTTTTTAAAGATGGGGACCACGTTGGCTATCTTCCAATCATCTGGCACCTGGCCCAAGCACCCTGAGCACTCTTAAAGCCGTGCCAAAGGCCCTGCAATAACCCCTGCTAGCTCCCTCAACACCCTGGGGTGAAGAGCACCTGGACGCGCTGCTTTGAACATGTCCAACCCCTCCAGAAGCTCTCTAACCTGGTCCTCCCCAACCTGAGGTCTGGAGGCGTTCCCCTCGAGTCCGTCTTGCATCACGGTGGGGAAGTCCCGGTCCCTGCACAAGAAAACAGAGGTGAAGAATTGGTGAAAGAGGTCTGCTTTCTCCTCTGGCGCAACTACCAAATTGCCCAGAGAATCTTGCAGGGGCCCCACTTTTCCTGGTGCCTTCTTCATCCTCCTCCTTTGTTGCAGACAGATAACCTCCTCTTTTGTTGCAGGCAGATTTATCTGGTCCTTCTCTGTCCTGCTAGAGAGCTCTTTTACGCACTTAGCTTCATTGCTGTTAGAACAACTTTGCTTTGAGGTTTTTTTCTTATCAGTTACATCTCTGGTTCTGATACCCGAAGGAAATCCACTTTTACAGCTGCATGTATCTAGCTGCTGAATATTCTTCTTTCTGCTTCTCTTAGGCATCTCTGTTTGCTTGAATAACTCTTCCTGGATTAGATTTTATCAGATTAAAGCATATGTTTAATGCTTTCATGGCAAGATGAGAGAAGTCCACTGGAGCTTTTGTTTCATTCCACTCTTTTATCCCCAGGTTGGGCTTTGAGGATTTACCCTTTTCAAGGCGCCTGAAGAAGATAAAGGAATTTTTGGAGCTCAGCACAGTTCCAAAGTCAGATGTATTGTTTGAATTAGGTAAGCACCTTTTTTAGTACAGGTATTCAGTAAAACCCATGGGGCAGTAGTCCAAGGAGTCTGGGGTTAATGCTTTCTCTCCAGGGTTCCAGCCTTTCCTGTCTAGACTGGCAGGGGCTAGACGTAGTGCCTGCTCAGCCTCACAGAACAAGTAAGTGTCTGAACCACTTCACAGCGACTCTGTTCCATAAACCTAGAGTAGCCATGGCTTAGAGAGATGCTTGGATAGTTCATAGGGTTCCAAAATCACTTATCTTAATGACAGCCCATCATTTTGGACACAAGTGAATGGATGCCAGAGTACCCAGAGACATTGCAGATCGGGGCTGCATTGGCATAGTTGGAAACGCATCCTTGGGACTGGGGGCAGCAGGTCAGGAATGAAATCGGCAGAGAGGTTGGGCAGGAAGGAAGCTGAGATCTTCCACAGTTTTTTCTTTCCCTTTAATTCACAAACTTCTTCTATTAACAGGCAATGGGGTTGCTGCTCTGCGGTCTGTCCCCACTGCGATTTACTCCTTCCTGCGCTCCATGGGATCTGACCCAGATATTCCTGATCACTACAACAATCTGCAGAGGGCCATTATCTACTGTATCTCGCTGGGTGGAGACACAGACACTATAGCTACTATGGCTGGAGCCATTGCAGGGGCTTACTATGGGGAGGAGCAGGTACCCGCAAGCTGGGAGCAGAGCTGTGAAGCTTTTCAAGAGACAGAGAAGGTGGCAAATAGCTTATATGAGCTCTACTGCCAACGACTCTGACATTGTGTGCCAAAGGTACAGCCAGCAACCTCGCTGGTCAGATCTACACCATCATCAACCACCAGTCGGCCCTCCACTCTCAGAATGGCCCTTTTGGTCAGGTGCTATGTGGTGAAAATGAGAGCTGGGTATTAGAGACAAGACATATTTCTCTGATTCAGTTTGTCTGGCGAGTGTGAATGGGGGATACTTTAAATGGTTATGTTTATTTCTCCACCAAAACTCACCAGCATTGCCTGGTTTCTGGTGAGATCTCTGCTCTTTACTCTGTCCTCTCCTTCTGCCCTTGTCTCTTTCTGTTTAAACACTTGTTAAGATTCCAAGGGGGAGGCGTGCAGAATCCAGAACCTTTCTGGTTTCCCTCCATTGGCTTCCAAAAGCTGTGGCCTGTCCTTGAAACATTCACAGTCTAATTTGTAGTAGCACTTGGGTTGCCCTGTAGCCCTCTTACACTTGTATTTCACTCGCAGAGGTTGAACAGCTGAATGGGCAGTGTTGGTGCATGGGGGTCCAACAGAAAGATGAATTACTGGAAAAGCCTGGAATATTACTCAGAAAAGTCTGAAGTCCCAGCATTCAGGAAAATGGTATACTGGCTTGCAAAGCCTCCTTAGAGTGAGCTCTGCTCTAGAGACAGAATGAGAAGAACCGAGTGGGGTTAGGATAGAGGTTGCCTCATCCATCTTGTGGCATTGTAAGCAGTATTATTGGCCAGCATGGGTAGGATTCCATATTACTTGTTCCAGTAGGAGTATGTCATGGTTTTTGCCATTGTTTTCTCTCCTTTGCTGTCTGAATTACACTTGCTCTTGATTCTGGCCTTGACGCTCATGCTGCTGGAGCTACACCCTTTGCTACCATTGCCTAATTAACACCCATTCTATACATAATCCATTGCATCTACCAAGGATGCTAGTACATCTGTGGGAAGGGATAATGTAGTAAAACCTAGTGGTACATAGGGGTCAGATCTTACTTCCCTCAAGGGAATGGCAAAAATCTGAATTTGGTAGGAGTAGGTTTTAACTCTGCTTTAAAAGTGTGCAATCAATTATTTAAAAAGGGGTGGAAGGGCAGTTTCTGTGGAGAGTGTACCTCTGTTAAGAAATGTGCACTCAGAGGCTATAACAAAAATAAAGCAGCCTGGTTCATCAGTTGGAAGCGTATACACTTCATCTAGCAGAATTGGAGCAAGAGGAGATGATCTGAGTTTGTAAACAGGCAGAATCATGTCGAAATGGTTTGTGAAATGTCTGAAGTCGTTAAACCAAACAAAACAGAGAAATAAAAAACAAACAAACATCCTGTTTGCAGGAAGCCGTCATATGGAAACGTTTATAAATCTGAATGTTCCAAAGTAATTCTATATATATGTATATTTTTTTATTGAGACTGGGAAGTGAATGCATTGCCAACATGGGGCTCTTGCCCAGCATGATATCAGCCTACAGTTTTTCTATTTCAGATTGATGGTACGTGTGAAAAATCTGACTGTAATATATTTGTTCCTCACCTTTCCTGTACTTTGTTTCCTTGAAGTCTTGAGTCTTGTGTATGAAGCTTTGCTGGATTTTCCTTCTATAAATTGGAATACTTTGTCCTATAAATGTGTGGAATTACGAGCCTGCTGCGAGCATGGATTGTATTGCAAATTTGCAGAAAATTTAAAGTGTCTTGTTGTATTTACTTTAAGATTCTGTTGTTTTCAATGAAGACATTTTAAAAAGCAAATATTTTTTAAACCTGTCTTGTTTTTTTCTGATGTGAAAGGAAACTGTGAAGCTAAGGCAAGCTTTCTGTTTACCGAATCTTGCTTTCTCTAACTCAGGATTGAAGTGCGTACCAAAAAAGTGCCAGGAGCTGATTTTTTTGGAAATAAATAAAATCACTTTGTATCTTTTAAGGAAAGCATCAGCACAGTGGCTAATTATTGGCATAATGGAGTTATGTTCCATAAGTTGGTTTCATAACTGGTGCCTAGCGATATATTGGCTTCAGCCTCTTCAGTTAGCAGTATAGCCAACAAGGCTTCCTGAGCAGAGAGATGCCCTTCCTTATACGTGCTTCTACTAGGGAGTCTTTTGTAAGTAGGTTAAAAAAAATTGTGGCCATTCAAGTGGAGCTGAGCCTGGAACCAAGCTGGGAAAATCTGTATATAGGGTCTTTGAAGTGTAATGGGACTTCAAACCCATTCACCAGGCCATTGCAGGTTTGGGGAAGTGCGGTGTAACGCACCTTGTGCATCAGTGGTTGGTGCCTGAAATGTTGCAATGAAGAGATAAGCACAGCTGTGTCTCAGCTTGATAGCTTTTTGCATCCCCTTATCCAAGCCTGCCCAACAGGCCTTAGTTTCTTCCTGTATCTTGTACTGCAATCCTTCATGGAACAGTTCATCTCCTGGTGAAGAGCTGAATACTTTTGAGTCAGCAGGTACAAGTGTCCAATACATGTTTTCCCAGAGATTGCAAACCCTAATGACTATGGATTCCTAGTAAAGGAAACACAGGCTAAATAAGTGCTTATGACAGAGTCATTAGCATCATTTGGCACAGTTGTACTGCTATAAGATGACCCTTGGATACCCCACACTGTTGTTGTGTATCAAACTTCCTCTTTATTTTCTTCCTCTGAGCTGCAGCATAATTGATTTGAAGGCACCCCATGGGCATAACACCCACAGCTGCTTTGCACGTAAACCTGGGAAGGTGCACTGAAACCCAGCAAGAGCAGAGAGATTTTCCCCTTGCCCAAGCTGCTTTGATGTAACGTTATTGCTGTCAGCTTTGTTGTGTGTTGTGGAATAGTGAGCATTTAGCCTTCACCATGTGAAACACAAAGGAACTGGGGCTGATTCAGTTACAATATGGGGTTTGGGAATGGTCATAGTTGCATTTCCCAGATTGGCTATGGTAAAGGGCCTGGAATCTGTCTTGGCAGCATCTCTTTGCTGGCTGAGTTGCAAATCCTGATTTTGGTGTTTAACCCCAGCTGTTCTGGATGAGGAAATTAAGCTGGGTGTAAACCCACCAAAGTTCAGTCATGTGGCAGTACTTTTCCAGACTGATTTTATTTAACTATAATTGCACTTTAGATGTCACTGGCAGGGAATTATGGTGCATAATTCCATTTATAGCTTTACAGTCTATTTGCTGCCATGTATTGGAATTATAGAAGTCTTAGAAAAACCGAACAGCTATTTTCCCTTCTACTGCTCCTCTTTTAAGACAGCCTGCTATTATTGTATAGTTTCTTCAAGTGTTTCTTGCAGGGGCATGGACCCAAAGATCTCGTGAGGTCCCTTCCAGCCCCTAACGTCTATGAATCTGAAGAATAAAAGCCCTTCCATGCCAATGACGCATCTTTTAGGCAGCTGGAACTTCTGCTTTTTTTGGGGTAAGTTTAACACTTAAAATCTATTGTAAAAGAAGAGTAGCCATCAGGCATAGTTTTATGAGTAGAGAATAACAGTTCATAGGTTCATAGATGTAGGGTTGGAAGGGACCTGAGCAGATCATCAAGTCCGGCCCCTGCCCTGGGCAGGAATGAATACCGGGCTCATATGATTCCTGGTAAGTTTAAGCTCAAATGACCCAAACTAGGTAATTATCAAGCCTCCTTTTAAAGACCCCCCAAGGTAGCAGCCAACACCACTTCCCTTGGAAGCTGGTTCCAGATCCTGGCTGCCCTGACTGTGAAGTAGTGCCTCCTGATGTCTGTTGAGTGTCCTATAAGAGCAGGAGAGAAGAAATGTTAAAACAGAGGGAGTTGATGTGTTAGTCATCTGGTGTATTGCTGCTGCATGCCCTGTTTGGGAGCTGGAAGTGTGTGTGAAGGGTGTTGCCTTGTAGAAGTTACAGGGGAGCAGTCAATGAAAAGATTTTAACTCCTGGAATCATTCCAAGCTAATTACAGATGACCAAATAAACCAAAAATTACACCGTGAAGGTGATCTGTCTCTGCTTCACAGGTTTTGAAAGGACCCATCAACTTAGAACATTTACAACTGGAAATTTTGTAACCTCTCCAATTAAGAAAGCAAAGAGAAAGCGATCAGAGGAAGAAATATTTTCTCTCACATTTTCTGCACTTTTGCCTTTGACAGCACTTGCTGTACAGTCAGCTTCACCATTTCCTCTAATCATAGTCATATTCATAGTCATCTAATCAATTTTTCCTGCAATTTTGTGAGCATTATGCTACTTAGACCAGAATACTGGATGGCATTCTCTGTGGCTTCTCTCAGTGGGAAGAAGGGGAATGGGTAACGTTGCCGTCATAAGTTCTGGAATTTGTGCCCTGGTGGGGATGGGGGGCGGGATACGATTTTCCTAGGTGGAAGTGTAGACCATGCCAATTTGAAATCTATTGTTACTCAAAACTCCCTTATCTTCCACATTATACGTACATGTTGCTCTCCTGCTGGGAAACCCCTTGTGAGTGGTAGATTGCTTGCTGGCATTAGGCTTGCTTTTATCAATCGTAAAATTTGGCGTATTAAAAAAAGATGGAGAGGGGAGAGGAAAACCCAGGCTTCAACTCCTTCTGTCTTAAATTCCTCAAAACAAACAGTGCCCTGAAATCAGATGAAATTGTTGCAACGTGTTTCCTTTTGTAGCACTATAGAGTAAGCTTGTCATGTAAGAAATGCTAATAAAAGTTGGCCTGCCTATGTCTTCAGACTGGGGTGGGCAAAATGCGGTCCACTGGCCAGATGCGGTCTGCCAGGCCATTCTATCTGGCCCATGGGGCCCCTAAAAAATTTATAAAATTAATATTTATCTGCCCCTGTCTGCCTGTCATGTGGCCCTCGATGGCTTGCCAAAACTCAGTAAGCGGCCCTCCCCACGAAATAATTGCCCACCTCTGCCTTAGATCAACATGGGTACAATGAAAAACACAGCTAATGAAAGTTATTACTTTCAAAGCTGGCCATGCTGATACAGATATTTAATTCTGGTTCTTAGGGGACAGTTGCTTACCTTGCCAAAAGCAAACCCATTATTGCCACTGACTTTCCCCACTTGCTGGAAGTTTCAGCAGAGAAGCCATGCACTGGATGGACCATTGAGAGTGGGCTATACCCTTTGTCCCCCTGGTGGGATACTCTAGGGGAACTTTCAGGGCCAGCGATCCGGATGTGTTTCTGATCTGCAGACTGCTCAGAGTACCCCCAGTCTAGAGGAGACCCATGGAGTCATGATCATCTCTTATTTGGCAGGTTTATACAAAGATAACTTGCATGTGCTGCTTTTAATAACCTCTGAATAAGGCACGGGAATGTGATACAGGAAAGGCAGGTTCCAATCCAACTCTGACATGGACCTTCTGGGCAGGTCCTGGACTCTGTTTCTGCCTCCAGTCCCTGTAAATGTAATGGGGATACTTGAGAACATATTGGGTCAGCCCACAGGTCCATCCAGCCTGGTCTCCTGTCTCTTGCAGTGGCAGACAGGTGCTAAGGGGGTGAGTATTTAAGCAGGGCATATCCAGAATGATTCATCCTCTGCCCCTCTCCCCTTCAAAGCTTCCATCATTCAGAGGCTTCTTTCGCCTGGCCTGTCCTACCTGTTCATCTCTCTGGGGCTCTGATCTCAGGTGAGGTCTCAAGCTGATGCTGTAATCCAAACAAGCAACAGGACAAAGATCCAGGTAGGGCCATCTTTAATACAATAAGTTTTATTGATGTTGTGTCAATACAATCAAGTACTGTAGTTTTAGTTCTGAAGAAGGCCAGTTTCACAAACGAAAAGAGTGCATTTTAAACCAATTTTACTGACAGACAGTGCATGTAATAAGTATTTACAAAACTAAAATCCTCTATATACTAGGTTAGAAATGAAGATACTAGAGGCAAACTTAAAAAAAATAGTAAGAATTTGTATATAAAAATGCACATTGTAATGCAGTTTTCATAGTTAAAAATAGACATACTTCATCCAACCCAACCGTATTTTTATTTTTTGGCGATTGAAACCAAAATCTCATGCGCTCACACACACGACAGAAAATAAATCCTTCTGCTGGCGATTATCATCATGTACTAAATACTTCCGAAAAAGAATACCTTCCTGACAATATCTGGCTAATGGAACACCCCCTTCATTCTGTGCATCGTTTTTCTAGCCTAACTCTATGTGCGTGTATATCTTTGCTTTTCAATTACTGTGTAAATGTAACAGGTTATATAGCTGCAGAAGGTTGATTACGGTTTATGCTCTGCACATGAAGGGAAAGTGAAATTGCAACACGGTAGTCTACAGTATTGAAGGAGTTAATGTTTCAGAGTTTGGTTATTATAAATGTGCATTTTTGTCATTACTTTTGCCAGCCAGAACCAGAAGACTGAATCAAAACAAAACGAAACAAAAAAGGATTGAACATAGGTTAGAACACAGTATAAATAAATTGCTTTGTTGAGTAACAGGCATAAACTTCCACCCTTGAGAGTAAGTTTGAGTACATGGAAGCTCCCTTACCCTAACCGCAGGTAGCGTTACGTGTGTTACCATCTCTGCCTCTGGCAGGGTGACTCGGTGAAAGCAGTGAAACACCACTGCTCTGAAACGAAAGGGGTCTGATGCCTTATAAACTTGAGTTCACTGCTGTTCTCCACAGGAAAATATACTTAAATAAAGGAGAGATGAGCCCCATTCCAGCATCCTCTTCCCAAGCGTGGATGTGAAGAAAACATCTGAGCTCCATTTCTTTTAAGTTTAGTTGTTTTCTTTGTT